AAGGCTTGTGGTTCCTAGCCTGGAGATAGTCCCTACACCGCCTTAAGGAAGATGGGGAGGGTCAGTAGTTACACCTATTCCTGGGGGGAATGCCAAGACTTGAGTTGGACAGGCCTATACCTAACATTCTCACACAGGGAGCTCTCAGGACCAAAAGGAGTCTGTTTCCCAGCCAGCTTCATGCTCCATGAAAGACTCAAAGCTTAGCTCAAATGTGGGAATACATGAAGTATGTGATTATATTTCATGGCAGGACCCAAATTATATGAATGATTTGAGGCAGAACTTATTAAGAATGTTGTCAGATATAATGTAGTGACTAACAACACAGAATCTGACACCCAAACTACCAGAGTTCAAGTCTTGGCTTTGCTACTTACTAATTGTGTGACTTTGGAAAAGTAATATCTACCTATAAAATGAGAACAATAACAGTGCCTACCTATAGTGAGTATTAAATGAGCTAATATATAAAAAGTGCTTAAAACGATGCCTGACATGACTGTTAGCTATTATTATTATTGTACAGGTGTTATAGGGTCTCCTAAATGGGACTGCTTCTCTGAGCGTGATAATGTTGAATTATATATTTGCAAAGAAAGACTATCCCATAGATACCAAGCTTAATGTTAACCTGCAAAATTCCATATCTGAAGAACTGTGCTTAGAACAGAGATGGAAGAGGTATCCAAAAAGGAAAATGTCTTGGACCGTTTTCAGTTCACTTATGACATATATCAAGGGTTTCAAGTCAGACAGAACCTTTTTGTACCTTATCAAGTTTCTACCTAATTTATTTGTAAGTTTATAAATACAAAGGGACTTCAAAAAGTTCATGTAAAATATAATTAAATATGAGCTTATTTGGATCAAAAAAATGGAAATCCACATGTAATTTTTTCATAATATACATTTTCCATGATCTCTTTGAAGACCCCTCATATATTAGTTTTTCTTTGGAAGGAGCCATGGATCAAAAATGATCAATACAGAGTAACAGTTCTTTCCAAAGTTTACTTTTTTCATGATGGTAGCAGTAGTAGTATTTGGGTGGGTCTTAGGGCTTCCAGAGCCTCCCAGAAAACTAGAATAGGTGACCCAAAGCTGGGACTGTCCCAGATATAGTATATCCCTGCTTCTTTACTTTGGTTTGGTTGTATTTGTTTCTTCACCAACTGGTGTTTGGCCACTATGCAGCTTAGTTCATAAAGACCATTATAACTAACTCAGAGTTTTAGCCTACATCTTAAGTTGAATGATATTAATGGTCCCTTCATGCAAATATTCAACATCTGTATTGCCACCATTATAAGATTGCAAAAAAATGCAAAATCATCATAACAAAAAAATAGTCACCAATTAACTGACCACTTAGAAATTTAGCTCTTCCTCAGATATCCCTCCTAACTTAATCCCAGGAACTACCCCCATCCATCATGTCAATGTCTTTTGTTGGTTATTCAGCATTTGTCTGATGTAGTAAGCATCCCAATTACAATGTAGAAGAAAGGCAAACATATCTATGCAAAGTCACTGACAAAGATCTATCTAAACAGCCGAAAGAAGAGAAAACCAACAAAGATAAAGACACGAAAGACTTCAAAAGAAAATTGTTGTAATATTCATGAATTAAAAGATATTTTAAATTAAAAGATATTTTATGTGTAATAGTTACATCATTGGACTCCAACACAGTTGACCATGTTTTGAGTCCTGGACCCGGCAGCTTGAAACTCGCAGTGGGTACGTGTACATGCATGCCCAAAATCCCAAGAGGAGAATGGAGGAAAAGGAATTGTAGTGTGGTCATCCCCCCAGGGTGTGATTTCTTGCTTTCTGTCTTAGTCTCTCCAGCAAGCATATATGCACTATACCAAAAAAACTCTCTAAAAAATAAAATTTAAAAAAAAAAAACTGGTAATATTTTTGTAAAAACGATTTCCTACATATTGTGAAGTGAAAGTATATTTTATAGGGGCCAGCAGGTGGCGTGGTGGTTAACAATACTGGACTCCCACATGGCCGACCATGGTTTGAGCCCTGTATCTGGTGGCTTCCTTTCTCACTTTCCCTATCTTTCTCTCTCTCTCTCTTGCTCCATCCCTCTCTGGTCAAATTAAAATAAATAAGTAAATAAATAAATTTAAATAAAATAATTCTTTAAAAAAACCCAAAAAGTATATTTTATCATTCTAGAATTTTGTCAAGAAAGTTAAGCCAAAATAAATAGAAATTTACTAATTGTTTGAGTTTAGTTCATAGTTGCTATTGTAATCCATATTTTTGTCAAATAAGATAAAAATGACTTATTTATGAATTATCTTCATTTTTCCAGGTTGAAATCTAATTAAACTTCTTCCCCATTTAACCTAAATACAGCAAATAGAATATAAAGATTTTGATTTCTAATAAGTGGCCTTTTCCTGGCACAGGTTGAGCATCCCTAATCTGAAAATACAAAATACAAAATGCTTCAAAATGCAAAACTTTTTAAGAATCAACATGATGCTACAAGTGGAAAATTCTACACCTGATAGCAGGGAATAATCAAAAAGCTGCAATAAACAAGTATTATATAAAATGGTGTTAGGCTATATGTCTAGGTGTATATAAAATGTAAATGAAGGCCCATCAAGGGTTGTAATGGTTAAAGGAGCTAGATCCCATATGGCCTACTATGTGGTTCAAGTCCTGGACCCAACAGCTTACAAAACACACCAGGTGTGTGTACATGAGTACCCAAAATCCCAAGAGGAGAATGGAGAAGGGACTGTGGTAGGGTCATCCCCTCTGGAGGGGTACTTTCATTCTTTCCTTCACTCTCTCTCTCTCTCTCTCTCTGTCTGTCTTCGGTAAGCACATATGCCCTATAGCAAATTTTTAAATAAATAAATAAATAAATAAATAATTTCCTGTTTTGATTTGAGTTCCATCCCCAAGATGTCTCATTTTGTATATGCAAACATTTAAAATAAAAAAAAAATACAAAATCTGAAAATTTTCTGCTCCCAACCACTTCAGATAAGGGATACTCAACCTATACTATTATAATTCTTCTTAAATAATGATAATGTAAGATGTATAAATAAATACTCAGTGTCTGCTCCAAGATTCCTCCTTTAAGGTTCATCAGGTCTCTCTTCCCTTTCCCCATTAGGTATCTTTCTGTGGGTTGAGGAGGAGTTTCATCTTTTGGATAAACAAGATTCTCAGGTCTTTTACCCAGATAAAATAAATAAAACCTAAAAGAAAGCCTTAATAGAATTTCACCTGGAGATATTGGGTTATTAGGACTTTAATGAGATTTATCCAGTGGAAGTCTGAAGGATCCCAACCACCCAGATTTATTTTCAGTAACAGAGATCAACATTATCACCCTGTGGTAACTCCAGACTGGATTCATCTCTCTGGTTTAAAAATTACAAGTTTATACTGTTTTGAAGTAATTAGGTCAGGGCCATCAGGTGGTGTAGTGGCTTATGTTCTGGACTCCCACACGGGCAATCATAGTTCAAGTGCTGGACCTGGTGGCTTGAAAGTCATGTGGGGCACCTGTGCATGCATGCCTAAGAACCCAGAAGGAGAATGGAAGAGAAGGGATTGTGGCTCATCCCCCTAAAGGGTGATTTCTCACTTTCCCTCTCTCTGTCTCTTTTCTTATTATGGGGGGGAAAAGTAATTAAGTCACTAGATTTTAAGAAAAGTACTCATAGGGGGCCAGCAGGTAGTGTGGTGGTTAAGGTGTTAGACTCCCACATGGCTGACTACAGTTAGATTGCTGGACTGGGTAGCTTGAAAATCACACTGGGCATGTGTGTGCATGTGTCCCCAAAATCCCGAGAAAAGAATGGAGGAGAAGGGATTGTGATGTGGCCATCCCCCTAAGGGTGTGATTTCTCACTTTCCCTTTCTGTCTCTCTCCTAGGGAGTGCACAGGCTCTATGGCAAAAATACCCCAAAAGAAAAGTACTTATAAAATGGTTGGCAGTTATAAATAAAGACTTTCTCTTCCCCTTTACTGAAAAACAAAACAAAACCAAAAAACAACTTTTGTTACATAATAGTCAAGATAGGGCCAGCAGGTGGTATGAAGGTTAAGGCAGCTGGATCCCACATGGTCAACTGTATGCAGAAGGGAATGAAGTGTGACAATCTCCCCTGAAGAGTAATTCCTCACTTTCTCTCTGTCTTTCTCTCTCTCTAGCAAGTACATGCACCCTATAGTGAAACAAACAAATAAACAAAAGGTCAAAATATATCAGACACCAACTGGAATGGTAATTTATACATGTCAAAGAACTATGCTTAAAGTTTTGTCTAATTTGGATTTATTTTTCTCAAGATTTATAATCAATAAGTATATTGAATATCTATTGAGTACTGAGAATTCCAGAGCTTTAAAAGTCACAATTCATACCTCTAATGAATGTGTAATCAAGGTCTTTCTCACTTATATGAATGTGTATGCACATACATTTTATTATCTGTTGAATATGTTATTTATTATGTAATATAGATGTCACAGTTATAGAATTTCACTTTCTTTGATCCTGGCCCAACTAGGTCAGATATTATGGCAATAACAGATGTGCAATGAGAACATGGCATGGAAACGCTTTTATGGCAAGGTTCCTCAGGTCACAGCGGTATTACTTCATCTTCTTTCTTCCTATAGACCAACCTCATCTCAAATTTAAAAAGAAATCCTATGTTTGATTTTTACAAAATAGCCCTAAGACTGATTATATTTTTGCTTCCAGCAACAGTTGACAGTTCTCTGCATTTCTATTTTGCTTTAGAGTCCTTCCAAGTGGGATTTTTGTGCCAATATCTATAAAAAGCACATGGTAAATATAGATGAGTATTTCCCTTAATGAGACTTTTAGATCAGTTCTGACTCTGTGAATAGTATTTTAAAATCTGAAGCAGGAAGGGAGGAAAACATGAAGTATTTTAACATGAGAAAAGGCCAATGAGTCTGGACGTGCCTGGATACTTACTCTCTCACACAGCTCTTCAAATGTGCAGTCGGCAACGGTTCCACAGGCTTTATTCAGCCGCAGCTCTCTGCCTTGCACTTTTAGAATCCTTGGTCTAGTTACTATGGGAACATGAACAAAGACTCAATCTTGTCTGGATAATTACTATAAAATTCATCTCTTACAGATAGGAAATGCATAGCTTGATGAATAATAGCACATGATTCAACACATAAATTAGACAAAATGCTGATACAATGACTGCCACTTGAGCGTGGCATCAACCCATATACAGCAATGGAACTTATTAATTGGTCAGTGGAGATTGGGCATTGTGTTCTAAATGTATTCTCTTTCAAGAGAAATTAACTTACGTACAATCATTTTGTTTCTGAGCCAGCTCATCAAACAACTTATCCATGACAGCCTCCACATCAGCTTCACTTGTGCTACAGTGAAAAGAATAATAGAATATGAAATTAATAACACTTGAAGCCAACATCAAACAGCTGCCGGAGCCTGCTTAGCTTTTTGCCCATAAAAAAAAGAACAGGATGTTATGCTCTAAATACAAACATTAGATTTAGAATACACTTAAAAGCAGAGAATATTAACTCTCAGGTAGATGATTCTGCCTTATTTGCATACACTGAAAGACTTCTGTGCTTCTAGCTGTTTCCAGTAATGAGACGATACAGGCAGAGTAAATCCATTAATACTATGTGTACACAATGAGAAAAAAGCTTCTGGCTCTCTCCTGCATGCAAAACAAGAGCAAACAGACAAGGCAGTCAAGCATCTAGCAAAGTATCCTTTGAAATCTCTACTGAGAGGGTACATGTGAAATTAAATATTGAAGCTGCTTTTTTAAAAAATCAAGTCAAGCCACTGACTGAGAGGATCAAACATCCAGAATTAAATTACTACCTTCAAAATACCAACTTGATCTGCACATCAATAACTTTATCAGACTCTAGTACAAGGACAATTATAGACCACGCAGTTTCTCTCAAGTGTCCTTGTTGGAAATTCAGGAAAACTCTCTCCTCCTGTGATGCCCAGCATCACAGCTTCTATCGAGTTAGTCTCATCACAGAATCTTTTGTATTCTAATTAGAAATCACCATATGGTTTGGGGAACCCACATATATAAATGTGATAATGCTATGACCTTTTATTCTCTCACCTTCTTTAAAGAGGGGTTGATAAATTAACAGTCAATAAAGTAAAATACTGGCAGAAAAAATAAATGCTGTTAAAAAAAACTTAAAGTGAAAATGTAAGTTTACTTCAACTCTACATACAAATGTACACAGGCTGACCTGCCAATATGCTTAGTTTTGACACACAAATCACTCTTATCTAGTTGCAGAAGCAATTAAAGTAGATTCTGGACATTCATCTTAATAAAATCCTATTGAAAATTAATATTATAGATTATTTTTTCTTTATATTAAACTTACACTAGACAAATCATTCTCCCTTGAGATGATTATCAGGTGGCAGGCATTTAACACACAAGCACCTGATTCTTCAATTGTTGAAGAGCAAATGCCTTCGAAATGCAATAAAGCACACAGTTGCTTTGAGATCGTCACAGTCCAAGTAACAACCACTCCACTTCGAAGACTTCTAAAATCATGTGCAATAGTTAACTTTGCAGGGAAGAGGGAGTGTGGGGAGTGGGAAGGTGTAAGCTATTTGACTTTCATAAAGCCTTGTATGACATCTGAATACATCCAGATCAAAATAATAAGATGATACTATAGTAAGAGTGATTATAGAGACAAAATATAAGGTATAAAAATCACCAAGTATATGTAAATAAAATGCCCATGCCAAGCACATGTACATTTAGAAACCACTCTTGAGAATTAATTTAGAACCAACTCTATCTTGCAAACACAGTGTGCATAGCACAACTGTTGGAGACGCAAACTACTTTTTAAGACACACAGAAAGGAGAGAGGGTCAGTCAGGTGACATGGTGGTTAAGGCAGCTAGATCTCACATGGCCAACTTTGCGGTTTAAGTCCCAGACTCAGTGGCTTAATAAAATTGCCAGGAGCATGTGCATGCATGCCCAAAATTCTGAGAAGAGAATGGAGAAGAAGGGATTGCAGCATGAATATCTCATTTTCCTTCTCTCTGTCTGCCTCTCCATTGAGCTCACGCACCCTGCAGCATAACATTTAATTTAATTTAATTTAATTTAAGAAGAAAGGAGACAGTGATGCTAGCCACCCAAGATGTCTGCTGGATTTTAAAGTCAACCTCTCTTTAGGATAGCCATGTTACTCAATATAAGGAAAAGAACTAAACTGAAAAATAACCAAGACAGAATTCCAAAAGCATCTTTGGTGAATAAACAATTGCTTACAAACTTCCTCAGTGATGATTTCATTTTTACTCTGTGCTCTAAAGTACTATATTATTAAAATGTGGCTCATTAGACTACAGTCAGGCCAAATCTTCTAAGTCACCTATAAAACAACTATATACAATTTCACATATAATGAAATTACAAAAACTACTTTTTGAAGTTACAAAACTATTTTTATTATAAGAGTATATTATACAAATTATATTATCATAAAAGTTTATTCAGAAGTTAAAAATGCAAAATAAAAAATGTTATTGGTGTTAAATGGTCTAAAAATAAAAGCAGTTCATAAAAGCAGTTTATCTAACTTCTTTTTTTTTAAATGTAATTTCTAATGGTTATCTGTCAAAGCCAACATGCACTTGACCTGCTGGGGGACCGAAATCTCATCTTCATATTATCATGAAAGCAGGAAGGGCTAGTGTGTGCTTTTGATTTTCTTAAGCATATATAGTGAAAGGAATCCTTACCAGAAATGAATATACTCAGAATCCCTTAACTAATAACTTGTGAGAAAACACTACCTTCTCACACTCCATTCACACTTTCCATTTTTCTACTTAAGAGGATGCATCAGAGTTCATTATATTTTTTAAGAATGAGAATTAGGAAAGTAAAGAGGAAAATAAAACTTGCCTATTTGTACTGGCCTAACAGCGTCAGAATTTTACTTATTACCCATTTGCATATCCAGTTTAAACATCTTTGAATATGTTTTGCAATTCTAGTAAAAATATTCTGATGATTCTAAACTATTGCAATGTATCATACAGAAAATAATTAAAGCCATCATTTACTGAACAATTATTATGCAGCAGATAATTTACCTATTCTACTCCTACCTTACCATGTAAGTTATGTTATAATGCCATTTTTACAGGAGAAAACTGAGACTCAGAGCATTAAGTTATTTTTCTAATCTGAATACATAAAAATGTAAATTTTGTTTATAATACAAAGTATTATAAATCAGGCAATGTCAAACTGAAAACACAGTGTCAGTACTTGTGATATACAATATTAACAATGTATGAAAAATGATAAAATGCTTAACACCTTAATAGAAAAACTGTCAAAGGACTCAATCAGGCAAATTGCATAAAGATAGCTCAATGGGCAAAAGGCATATATAAAATTGTTCATTCTTTCCAGTAATAACAAATGCAAAGTAAAATATTGACTTGCCATTTTTCTATCCAAATTGACAGAGATAAGGAAAAAGATAAAATACCCTGAGCAAGTCTAGGTATGGGAGGAAAAGACACCTTCATGTACTGTTGGGAGGAGTGCAAAACTGGTACAAGATTTTAGGGCAACAGATGATATGTAATAAAAGCACTAAAAACATGTATATCATAATACCTAGCTATTCTATTCATAGGAATTACACCAATGGAAATAATAATAATTTATTACTAAAAAGATGTTCACTGTGACATCAAAAAAGGGAAAAAGAACTTATATGTCCAACGATGGGGCATTTGGTTAAGTGCATTTGCACATACCTGTACAACGGAATATTAGGCAGTTTTGGAGTGCCAATTTTCCTTGTCCTAGAATTCCAAGTAAGAGACACAGCAGATGACTAGAAGTGCTAAGTACTCCCAACTTCCTAAAGAGAACTACCAATGAACCACAAATAGCTGACTCCAGACTTTTGTCTTCATGGCTAAATCAGCAAAAGAACCATTCCAATAGATATCTTTTACCATCCTTTATTCTTCTCCACAGCAGTGTCCTTTTTTGTTGTTGTTGTTGTTGTTGTTTTTGGAGAGGTTTTTGCTATAGGGTGCATGCGCTTGCCAAGAAGACAGAGAGAAAGAGAGACAGAAAGAGAGAAATCACTCCCCAGGGGGGATGGCCACACTGCAATCCCTTTTCTTCCATTTTCCTCTCGGGATCTTGGGCACGCACAAACGCGCCTGGTGTGAGTTTAAGCCACTGGGTCTAGGACTCAAACCATGGTCGACTACATGATAGTCCAGCGACATAGCCATTACGCCAACTGCTGGTCCTAACAGTGACTTCTTAATCAGGAGAAAAGGATCAGGATTCACTGGCCTTTTCTCTCCCCTTGGAGAGAAGAGGATGATTTACTGTCCTCAAAGGTAAGTGATGGAGGAAGTATTATCTATGAAAACCACTTGGAAAGATTAGGGAAACCTAGAAGAAAGAAAAACTAACATCGTTTCCCTTTGTTGAATGAGAAGAACCTTAAGAGGTTGAGAAATTAGAAGATAAAAGGAGGGATGCTAACTCAAAATAAGGCAAGCCAGTTCTCACCGAAGAACCCTTCAAAGACTTGGCACTATGACATTCAAATTTATAGATAAGAGACCAGGTTGGAAATAGGTCACTGTTTAGAAATAAAAGTTGGGGCCAGCAGGTGACAGGGTGCATAAGGCTCTAGATTCCCACATGGCAGAACCACGCTTTGAGCTCTGGAGCAGGTAGCTTGAAAAATCATGCCAGACCCGTGTGCATGCAAGCCCCAAATCCTGAGAGAATGAAGGAGAAAGAATTGCAGCATGGCCATCCCACCTGGGAGGTGATTTCACACTTCCCCTCTCTCTGTCTCCTGTGAATGCACGCACTCTATGGCAAAAACCTAAAAAATAAATAAACTTTATTTTAGAAATATGAAGAAATAAGACAAAAGCTGTTCTGCAATTCCCTCTTGCTACCGGGACAGCCAGATTCCTTCCCCTCCCGCACCAGTGGAAACTCCTAAGTTTACCAACTAGGGCAGTTTTAACAAAGACAGAAAAGGGAGAGACGCCATACTGAAATTCTATATATTAACAGTGACACCAACAGCCCTTACTTCTTTGGCATCTAGAACCCTATTAGTAAAGCATCTAACCTAGGCAGTAGACTGGAAGATTTACCTCTGGAGGGACCTGAACAGAAAAATGCAGACATTGACATAAGGGGTTTTCCAATGAAAATGCTGACTAGCTACTTTATCACCCTCCAGTGAAGCCCACCAATCAATAAAACCCTGTTTATGCACACAGAACTTCTAATAAACTTTTTAATGTTTTATTCCTTTTTGTTTTTTTAGAG